ATCCAGAATTGTTTTTATTCCGTTGTAAATACTTGATCATCATTGTGTTAAAAATCAGTTTTTATTACTTTACAGCTTTTCATATATGGATCTGATGGCTTATAATTTTGTTAAAAAGGAAAGGCATGAAAAAATACCAATTTTTTCCTGAAGTTAATGAGTGAGTGTTACAAAATGTTAATGATTACTAATGGTATTGAACTGATAGTTTAACTTGACAAATGTGCAAAATAATCACGCTTATTAATATTCTATATACAATTACTAGTGCTGAATAATAATGAACTTCATTCTTGAGATGTCAGAACCAATATTTTTAAGTAAATATTATTAGTTGACATCATGCGCCTAGTCTCCATATAGTTTCTTACTGACGTAATTACTATCATTCAAAATAGAGCTTCAAAGAAGGGATTGAACATTAATTTTAACCATTCTTTTGCGTTCTATAGTTGTGTTAACGAAGGCATTTCATATGTTGGCGAAAAAATGAAACAGACTAAATTTTCGAAAAAAATATTCCTTTGAATACAAGTAAAAGCATAATTTGAATTTCAATCTCAGCAGTGTTATAAAAAAATATGTTGCAAAATGGTAAGCAACTCTCCAATATTTGTTTTTTCTACTGCAGTAAAGCAAGAGAGATAACGTTTTCTAAAACAGTTGCTGAAAACTTTATCTCCCATGCTTTATTAAAGTGAGAAAAATAACAAATATTGAATAGTCGCTTATCACTTTGCAACATATTTTTCTTAGTGTCCTCTATGATTTGTGTAAATTGTGTATTAAAGTGGGAATAAAGAAAATCTTATGTTTAAAATCTTTTATAGAATTTATGTAATCAAAATTACTTTAATTTATGTAAGAACAGAATAGACAATCCTAAATAACAAAAAGTAGTTGAAAACGAAACTTCTTTTTCATTATCATTAACCATCATCGCATCTACTAGAATGAATAAATTGAATCAAAACTTGAAACATAATTTTTACTCAAAATGATATCAAAGTTGCAGTATTCAGAGAATGAATCAATAAATCACTTAGTGACTGTAGTTTTAAATCAATTACTAGAAAAAAGTCTGTTTGAAAACAAACATTAGTATACTATATCATCGTGCAATTCCATAATCAAATCAAATTTTCAAAAAATCAATTTAGTGATCAGTTGAAAATAAGGAAAATAACTTATAATTATAACTGAAAAAATCGAGATTTAAAAAAATTAAAATTATAACGATTATAAATAACTTTGAGCTATTACAAATTACAGATTTGACTGCAATCTTTTTTAAAATACTTTTATAATCTATTACAAGTCAGTTGATCTAAAGTTAACAAGCATACTATACAACTTAAGATTCAGTAAACTGGTAATGCTATCAGAATTTGTCTTATTTACTTTCAAATCATTCGATAATTTTTGGGCAAAATTTGCATCAGCATGAGATCTTGGTGTTAATTTTAATGCCTTTGCTAGCTCTTTATCACTTAAATGTTCATTGGAAATATGAATTTCACTGAGTGATGAATCCGCTGTGACAATTCGTGTACTGTATTGCTTCGTACTGATATGAAGCCCAGAGCGCTTTATTTCTAAATTACACAGTTTTATCAGATATCGACTAATAATACCTACTCAAATGGTAATAGAAAAGTTGAACTTTTAACATATGTTTAAATGATTAGAAAGAAACGATGCTAATAACTCTTTCTTTTCTAATTATCAATTGACAATGCTTAAATGATAATTAATTTCATACAGAAATTTAGAAAGTGTACAATCGACATGTTCTATCGATTGTAAATACGTTTAAAATAACAACCTTTACGATTATTAAAAAACCGATTAGAAATAAGTAAACAGAAGTTGATATGGACAATAATGGATCGGAAACTATTCCTGAAAGACTTCATAGTTGTCCCATAAATAAACGGATTCAACATGCTGAAAAATAACAGCATTTTTTTTGTAATTACAAAACTAAATAAATATATGAGTAAATTTAAAAGACGAATTCCTTGAAATATATTTAAAGACTAAGGATTTTGAGGGGTTCATTGACTACTTTCGAATAATAAAAAAGTTTCTTTAAAAAAATTGCAATATTACCTATTAAAATAACCTAGCCACGTGAAAATATCCATAATATAATGAGGAACCAATTGAGTTTCAAATAATCCACCTTAAAAGTTTTATTATCATTGAGGCATGCTTATTTTTTCGAGAAACTTGTAATTGTAACATCAATTTTCTTCCGAATTTTATGAAATTGTCAAGAATCAAAGTTACTGACATGCTCTGTTCAATATACGCATTAACTTGTAGCAAAAACTCTGTAAACTTGCTTTTGCAAGTTATTTTTTTCAGTGTGATTAATTCACAGGCATACTTTGATCTTTGATAAAATGATGAAAATTAGAAAAACTTGAGAATATTTTAATTATTTTTTTAACGATCTAATTAGTTTATCATAAAAATTTTCATATATGCTCATAACTTCATATCGATATGACAATAACTGCTTATTTGTAGTGCATAAATCAGACAAAAAAATTGTGGTAATACTAATCTGCTCAATTTTATAATTTATTTTTTTTCTAATTTGGAGTCAGCAAGTCATTGGATTTCAATTTATTGCAGCTCTCATTTCAATTCTATATATGTTATTAATTCAAATTTCTTAGTGTACTGAATTGTTTATCCAATTCTCTGTCTTTAAACTATACCAAATAATTCTATTAAAACAGTTTAATGCTTATTTTCAAATGATATTTATTTAGCACACAAATATATAAATATAATCCGTAATCAATGACTTATTGAATTTACTCAATGACTTACTTAATGAATGTAGCACAAAAAAAGGTGTCCAGCAGAGAATAAATGCTCCAACGACAATTCCTAAAGTTTTAGCAGTTTTTCGCTGCTTTTGAAATGCGCGACGACATTGTCGTTCCTTTTCTGGTTCTCGATATTGTGCCCATGAAAGAAGCGTTACTCGCACTCGTTTTTTACCCTTATATCTGAAAGTTGCTGTGCATTATAAGCACAATTAATGTATGATACTTCAGAATATAACAATTTAACTGTTATCTGATATATCTGACCTAATACTGCTTAATAATAAAAGATTTTTATTTAAAGAACAGTGTACAAAAAGTTATAGACAACCTGAAAAATTTCTATTGAAATGAGTAATGTTGCCAAATATTATTTGACTTTTTACGTAAAATTTTATCTTTACTTTCCTTTAACATTTAATTTTTATCACGGCAAAATAGTTACGATTAGTACTTTTTTACAAAAATATGCTTTTGTAAAAAGCGCTATGCTTATGAGGTGCGAATAATTTCATTCATCAAATAAACAAAAAATGATAAAAATGTTTATTCAAATATATGTTAATAAAATCTTTAGTGTGTTTTAATTTAGTTTTACTAAAAGTTATCTAAAAATGCTTTTCAATTTTAATCAAATCAAAGTAACAAGATTGGACATGGAAAAAGTTCTTCCCACTCATGTGAATATACAAAGTTGAAATAATAGATATGCTACATTTATGACTTCTAGGAAGAAGTAAAATGAAAATGTAAAACTCGTAGGCGTTATGCTTTTTAATCAAAATAACAACTATTTTTAATATGCAAATGAAAAAAGTACTAAGCTAAAAGCTTTATTCGAACAAAAATTGAATTATTTTGATTATTAAATTGAACTAGATGAAATAAAAATTTATTTTTAGCTGTAATAAAAAAATCCTTGGAGTCAACATCATATGCTTGTTTTGTTTTTGCGCCAGAGTTCAAAAAATGATGCTTCACAATTAAATGAAGTGTAGAGAAAAGGACTAGAAATAGAAAATATTTGGATGCATAAGCAATTTAATCAATGATTTTTATTAATATTTATATAAAAATGAATAATTTTCAAAATTTACTTCAAAATTATGATGAGCATGTCTGAAGCATATATATATAAATTTGTCCAACAAACAAATTGGAACTTTTCTCTTGCATCGATGAAACTTTATAATTTTCAACCAACTATTCCTTTTAATCAAAGTGGTTCGAAAAGTGTTGAATAATAAAATGATATTAAATGTATCTGTAATCAATTTTAATTTTTTATACTGTGTTTAAACAATAATATTAAGACGAGATTTATTTTGTGTCAATGAGAATCTGCTTAAACAAGCATACATTTCTAAATGATAAAAAATCAAAAATTTAAAGAAACACATACTGAATACTAGCAGGTTTTGCTGATGGACAGTATCCTTTGTTAACAACCTATAAAAAGTATTTTAAGAAAATTAGACAATTAACACATGCGAAAATTATATGAATTTTTGTAATGTGCTTAAGATCATAAAAATTTTAAATTCTATTCAATAATGTACGAACTTTTCCAACTGAATAAATTGAACTGCGTTCAAAATGAAATAAAGCTATATTTAATTAAGTACAAAAATTAATGAAAGTGTTATCAAGAAAAAAAAGAAATGTATGACAACTGAAACCTGAAATATTCTGTAATATAAAAAGCAGATGATTATAAGTGGAATAAAAAATGAGCCAATGGTAGACTCAAATACTAAACGAAGCTCTGCAGCCACGTTGCATTTCCAATCAAGCACTTCACTTCTTGTCCATCGTACTGTTGCTGACAGTATTGCAACTGAGATGAGCCAAATACCTGAACTTTTGATAACTAATTTAATATTTTATTTGAGGCTTACATAAAGAAAAATTGCTTCTGCTTTTGCATATGCAATAAACGGAAGTCAAATTCATAACGGATAAATCGTACTTCAGGCTTTTTAATTATGTCATTCATTTTCACTGCTATTTGTTATGCAAATTAAATGCATTTCAATCACAATATTTTATACAAAATTTTTAATTTACCTGATAATTCTTACTTTACGCCATTGGAGTCAGTGATTCTAATTTATGTTTCTTTAAAATTCAATTAGCATGCTTCAAAGTAGCAAAAAATGCTTAGATTAATATTGCTTTCAAAGAAAATAAGAAAAGCTTAAAATGACAGAATAGATACACATGTACATACCAAAGCACGTATAAAGAACACGTGTGCGCGTCACATAGACGTTATATTGAAGTGGCCGTGTAACACCAATATAACGATCACAGCTTATGGCACATAAAGTCACAATAGATGCTGTACTACAAATCACATCTAATGAAATCCATAATTTGCATAATCCAAGTCCGTAAATCCAACGTGAACGAGTAAGGATATTTGACACAGCTAATGGCATAACTATGGTGCCTGTAGAGCTTGTTTGTCAACAGCATTGTTTATCAGTGAAATAAAAAAATAAATTTAATAGTTGTTTAGTTACCTTAAATGTTGCATTCTTTTTGAAATCTTCAAATGGCTAATTTTACGTATACTTTTTGAATACTTTCCGGAACTAAAAATAACTTTGCTCTGTATTTAGTTGATTTCATGAATTGAAGTGAAAATTGTCAGAACTGATTAAATTTCTCAATAATGCAGAATTTCCATTTCGCATATTAATTTAAACTTCTTCTAATCTGGACAAAAAATGTGATGTAAATAATGATGAAGTTGGGAAGAATTATAATTGAAAAATGTTAGCATTTAATTTTCAGAAAGTAAATGACAGCAAACACACTTTGAGTGATCTTCTCAGTTAAATATTTCAGTGGAAGATGATTTAATTCTAACCGCTATTTGACTGATAAATGATGGAAGTTTTTTAAAATCAATTAAATAAATTTTTGCATCAAAAGTGTGTGAAAACAACTTTCAATTTGCTTCGTTTATAGTTGAACAAGAATTTAATTGGGGAGAGTGGTGAACTTACCAACAAAAAGGTCAGCAACAGCTAAGTTAGCAATCAGAAATCTTGTTGGATGTCCATTGCTTAATACTACAGCAATCAGTACAAGAATGTTGCCCAAAACAGTTCCAATGGTCATGATGATTGGAAATATTGCTAGCAATAAAACCAATAGATTCATTTGGAATATTTCTTCTGAATTAGTCGCAATTATAGTTAAGTTTAAGTTGTGATCATTTTCTAGCAAAACTGTGTCTCCAACCATTGGTGTTTTGTCCAAGTTGATATTTCAAATAAGTATATGTTTAATTTGAATATGGACCGATACATGCAAAACTGCAAGATAGATTAAGCTTAAAAAATTTGAATGCATATATGCTTTCATTTTCAGTGATAGCAAATATTTGTGCTTGTAAACGCCTAAATTATGCCATATTTAGTCATGAAATGCTTTGCACTTGGCTACTTGAATAAAATAAATACAAATATTAGGGTAATTTGCTAATTAGACCTACTCTTAAAATGATTAGATAATATGGCAAAACTTTTGCATATTAATATAAGTTTAAGATAAGCAAGAAAATTTTTGCATTTTTAACAAAAGCAATTGTAAAATGAAGGACAGGCAACAACAAAAAAGTTGAAATAAAAAATGAATGAATGGATGGATTTTTTGCAAATAAAAGTTAATATAGAATGAGCAGAGAATTTGATGAGAACAAGAATTGCTTTAAATTGTGTTGTTGCAAAAAAGAGAAAAAAAATAACAAATTTGTTTAAAATTCAATTGTATAACGGTCAGAATTCATTAGCGTATTGTACTCGCAACAATCCAAGTATAATGCTCCACAAAATAGTCGGGCAAGGATTTGCAATGAAAGCTTTTAGTTAAAAGTCACGCCATAAGGAAAGATGAAAAAAATTGAAATAAACAATAAAAAATAATGACAAAACTTGCTCTATTGGCATTTTCAATTTTGTTTTTTGAATAATGAGAAGTAGACAAAAATTAATACTGCACTAATATAAAATATTAAAAAAAATATTCGAAATTAAATTATTTCTTTGAATTGTTAATTAGAAAGACAATTTGAAATTTATTCGCAAAATTGGTTAATGCGCTTTTTGTAGTCCTGCCAGATCAGCCTATAACACACCATTTTGGGAATATTTGCTAAGAGATACAAATTACACAAAACATTCAGCTTTTCAAAATTAATTGCTAAGAAAAATTTATTATTAACACAAAAAAGTTTCGTTCAATTACCACTTTGTTAATATACGTACGACAAAAGGTAAGACCTTTAAAATACTGAATTGATGTCATCATCATATGCTTGCTTCTAATAATTTCACATAAACTTTGTAGCAGTAGAGTACTTCTATAAAAAATTAAAATTAAAATAAAATAATATGTATGTATAAATGTATTAAATATATGCAAGTAAAGTATAAACATTTAAGAACAACCATTCTCTTTTTATAAAAATATTAAAAACACGTTTATTATGAAATGAAAGTTATTAAAAGTAAAAAAATGGATTGAAAATTATTCCAAAAAGTGGTTCTTTTTCATAATTTTGTTAGACTTTTTTGAAATATATTTGAGAAGTATCAATTTGCAAAAAGCAATTATGTATTAAGTCTTGTGAGTGCAAAAAAACACATAGAATTGATAATAAAGTGATGCAAGAGAAAATGTCAAGTGCAACGCTAAATATTTCGAAGAGCACGTTTTTTTTATTTTTTAAATATACCATTTGTAATGTTGTATTTTTATGAATTTTTTCTCACGCAACTTGCAAGCGTAAGTTGCAGAAAAGCGTTTTTAAATTTTTGAGAGTTGAAAAGCCAAAAATTTGAACTTTGTCGCTACAGTAATGCCATATGAAGAAGTGCTGTGCGAAAATAAACAAAAAGTTTTCTAAAAAGTATGTATTTTCAAGCGTAAGCGCGATATATATCGTGAAAATTTTATAACAAAAGCAATATTAAATAAAAAAATTACTTCTAGAAATTATATCTCTAGTGCACACAGAATCTTGAAATTCCAATACAGAGAATACTTTTACAGAATTTCAGTACTTTTTTAAATTGCCATATATTATTTAAAACAAAAAGTGGTAATGAGTTAATAAAAATAAATAAATAGGTATGAAATATTGAAGTTACGGATATGTTAAAAAATTTCTGAAAAAATATTAAATGCATATCTGAATATAACATTCTTCTAACTTTGTGCTAATTAAAACTAGCTTTCCACTTCATTTCTTATCACAATTTTTTTTCTTTATAGATTATAGCGCTTTGAATTTCATGATATTTAGTAATAAAAGTTTGAAACTTTGCAGTTACAGATGATTACTAAAGAAAAATTTATGTTATAATTATATCTGATTTGCACAACATGAATGAGTACAATGCTCGTGTAAAAAAAAAAGAAAAAATTTGCTTTTTTTTTTCTGCGCTTAATAAATGAAAAAAGTTGAATAATAATAATTATTTTTGTACTGATAAGTATCAAATACTGTAGTGATGATTTTTGCACAGATAGAAAGACAAAATCCAGTAAATTGCTCCTGATTAAGTATAGTGCTAGTTAAAAGTGAAGTTTATAAAAAAATAGTTGCAACAAAATACATTTCATTAAAAGAAAGTTTATGCATATAATTCAGTGTGACATAATTGTCTAGCTTTGTATTTTGAATAAAAGTTGTTTTGCTACACTGCATTTTAAATCATTTTATTTGTAGTAAGTAATTATTTATATATAAATAAATAATCAAATGCTACAAATATTTCTCATTCAAAAATTGATCGCAAAAATAAAATCGGATATTTATCTGAAGTACCTTCATGTTTACATATATGTTAAATTATACAATTTAATAATTATTATTTGAGATTTGTACAAACTTAAATAATTTTTTAATCCTCTAACAACTAAATGTGATTATGAGAAGACATGTGTGTTTCATTTTTATTGCTTCAACGTCATTTCCTTCTTATTTGAAAAATTAACTCAGTAATTTGATCATATAATTTTATAGTTCAAGCATCATTGATATCACATTTATATGTTAAGAAATGGTTGGAAAGAATGAAAAAAAAAACACATTTTAGCTTAATTGCATTATATTTTGATTTAAACTTGCATGAAAGTTTCTTATTTTGGCATTATTAAAAATGGAACATGGCATTTTCAGTCACTATTGAGTACGTTAGCACTGAAATGAATTTTGCATATTCTTCTTTAAATTTTAGAAAATTTTAAAAAAAATACTGAAAAATTTCGTGTCTATTTTTACCTATTTATTTATTTTTTTCATTTATTTTGCGTGTGAAATATGCATACAATTTTTTAGTTATTTTCTGTATGAAAAAAAAAGCTGATCTACTTTTCAAATACATTTGTATAAAGTGCAAAAAAATATGGAGTTTCTTATAGTTTTTCCAAGTACTAGTAGTCATCTTTGACATACTTCAAATAATCAAATATGTTGAAAAAGTTAAAAATGACAAGTCTGTTTTTTAATTTTGACATTTGCAACATTTTGCATATTAGTACTAGTTTGAAAAGTAGTCCTCAATTTATTTCAGACAAAGAAGACTTATACCAATTGGTTTTATTATTACGTTGAAATCGGTCGAAATATTTTTAATTACAATATTTTTCATTTATGTGCAATGTTATTACAAATTTAAAATTCAATAAAAATTACATATGTCAGCTCAATGAATTCCTGCTACAAAATTTAGAGTTTATTGAAAAACTTGAACATTAATTATTCATTCTTCATGTGATACAATTATTTTTGATAACATCAATTATCAAAAATTGCTTCATTCCTTTACTAATTTAATATTAATCATTATCTGAAACAAATCTTATTTTAGGCTGGATTTAAATATGCAATGGCTTACAATGCAATATACTAATAGCTAATTAATGTCATAAATAAACTTAATCTAGCAATTATCAAAAAACAAGTCAGAAACATATAAAGATAATATATATTTATAGTTACATATGTAGTCAAAAATAAATTGCTTCTTTTATTTGAATAGAGAGTATAAAATCAAGAATGACGAATATTACATTATAAGTGAATGTCAACATTTAAACTTGTTTTGAATTTCATTAAATTCGAAAATAACTGCATTGTTAGAATGTTGTGATGATTTTTTTTTACTTATCACAATGAATGCTTTTTAAAGGCAATTATGCCAATTGGTAAGGGGCATATCAAGCAAAATTGAAAAGAATAAAAATTAAATTTGCTTTATTTTTTCAAAAAAGTTATAACTTGCATGTTTCACTGTGTACGCTGTAGATGTAGCATCTTCTCATGATCAAAAGTAACTAACAAAATTTTTGCACAACGTTTCCACATCAAAGATTTCATATAACAGAGCTGAACATCGATGCATCAAAGATTTATGCACTTACAGTTTCTGGCATAAAGAAGTTGCTTATTTTTTTCAAAATTTGTAAAATAATTATTGACTTTCAGCTTTTGTTTCTTGGTTTGATATTTCATGATCAATAATAATAATAAAAATAAAAATAATAATAATAATAAATAAATAAATAAATAAATAGTTTAATTTAAAGTCCCAATAACTATATGTGATCTACTTCAATGATTCATTTCGCTATTAAAAATAAGTTAGTGAAGTAGATTAGACATTATTAGAAAAATCCATTAATCTATAGAATTCAAATAATATTAGTAGATAAAGCAAGTCAATGATAATATTTTGTTCTGCACGATTTTTACCATTCAAGAATTAATTAGTGATTTGAACTAATAGCTGTTCGACTGAGTAATAGTTCAGTTTCAGTACATCAAAACTGAAACACAAAACACCAAACTGTTCTAAAATTAAACCAAGCTTTTGCGATACACAAGTTTGGATTACGAACTCAGATGCAGTTGCTGCTATTATGTTCAATTTGTGCAACATACATCGCGTTTATTTTGTAAAATACTTTACCTTTGATTCTAAGCTTAACACTTTGTATTTAAAAAAGCTAGATTATTAATGAGTGAGAAAAAGATATACAAAATGATCAAAAAATATGCGAAATAAACTCTTAAATATGGATCAAAATTTTCAAGTTTCTACAATTTGCTAGTTATTTTTCAAAAAGTCATCATAAATTTTTAAAAAAATTTTGCTTTTTGAGGAAACTTAAATAATTTAAAAGTTCCGTAAGAAAGGCTGCACTAATTAAACAATAATTACTGCGAGTAAAATTCTTTTGAGTTTGACTAAGTTTACACATTTAATAAAATGCATGCACTGGAAATTATTGTTATAGGAAATGCTCATTTTTTGCAATAAAAATGATAACAATTATTATCATCTATCTGCTAACACTAAATGCTTGTATTATTTTATCGTAATTATATTTAAACGTTAACAACTAATTAATCAAATCTTTAAAAGGATAAAAGTGCTCAAAAAGCTTGAATCTAATCTTCCAAAAGCAAACATTGCACAATTTTTATTTCTAGTTATTGATGGAAACAAATTTGAATTTTATTTTTTTGAATTTCTGGAATATTTTTTTATAATGTGATTATTACACGTTTTATATTTAGGCTGCCTTAGCTAATTGTCTTAACAGTCTTTTAGATGAGAACAACCAATTTCCAATTTTTTTTCTTTATAAATTATGAAAGGTCAGAATAAAAAGCGTTAGAAACCAATATTTTCTTAACATTTCAATTTGCATGCCATAGTTTGCAATACAGTAAGTAGAGGTTTCGAAAGCATCAACTAGTTATATTACTGATAAGATGTATAGGTTTCGACTTGTTGTTTTAAACGTACTCAGAACAAAATTAATTAATGTGTATATAAAATTCAAGATAAAGCAAGAACAAAAATTTAAGTTTCGTGAATAAGAATAGGTATGATATAGATTTTGAGATGATTAACTTTAAAAAAATCATCATATAAAAGCAAAATTTAGTCTTAGCATTTTTTGAACTTGAAGAAAATAGCTCTACTTGCAAATTCAGACATTAAATTTATTTTTTTCCACCACATTTTGCTCTTAATGTTAAATTATCACTTACTCTTAATTCAAAACTTCAATAAAAAGTTAAATTAAACAATATTTGTATACAAGTACTTGTAGCAGCTCTTACATCTTAAAAATGATTGATTACTTATTTAATTATGAATTAATTATTAAGGGAGTTAAACTTTTTCAAAATATTTAAAAGGTTTTTGTAAAGTTTTCTCTTTAAGGCGGTTTTTATACTTGAAAAAAGTAAATAAATTGAGCAAATAACAAATTAAGTTTTTTATTCGAATCAAGCAGGAATTGCAAATACTTGGTCAATTGTCAATTGTAAAGAATATTGTTAGATCAATTCAAGATAAAGAATTTGGTCTAAATTGAATTGAATCTTGACTTAACACCTAAAAAATAGACTGTGGTCATGAATGTCATCAGCATCAGTCAAAGATGGGTGTTAAAAGCATGATTGATTGTCACAATCTCGTTCATTTGAAATTTGATTGTCACAATTTGTTTTGCTTTAAACGTTTAAAATAATCACTTGAACATTTGAGAAATCTTTTAAAAAAATTCATTTCACATTTTATATGAGGCGTAGATTAATTAATGAAGCATGTGACTGATTTTTCAAACTGAAAAACCATCGCTAATAATTTTAAATTTAATGAATGTGTAAAGCTTCTTCACAACTACATTTCTCATGAAAACGAAAAAAAAAGAAATTCCTTGTTATATTATTTTATAGTAATTCGAATAAGTTTTATTTCAATTACAGAATCAATTCTTAAATAAAATGTAATCAAAGATCTGGAGAAAGCTGTAATTACAATCAAATCAAAAATTATGAAGAAAATTGTTGCAAACAATATCCTCCATAATTTTTCACATAATTAAAAGTGGAGTAGAGTAGAACAGAGAAATTAGAAGTAGGAAATTAAGAGTTGAATTACAAGCAATACAATTATTTTTACGAGTTTATTCTAGCTCATAATACTGAAATTTATTTGTAAGATTATCAATTTGTCGATATAATTTAGCAGATATTGGTAATACTATATAATGACCACATTTTAATAATTAGTAGATCTGAAGTATAGCAAATGCTACAAAATAATAAAGTGGTAATTGTTATTATAACAATCGAATTGACTTCTCATTACTTAAATTTCTTATCACTGCGATTTTTAAGCAATTTTTAGCAAAAATTGTGAAAACATGCTATCCAAAATTTTTAAATGCTTCAAAATAAGAACAATTTATAAAAAATTTTTCTTTAGGTTGCTTCTAATTTCAACTCTTTACTTGATTTTTGCCTAGTTAAAGCATGAATGAGTAGAAAAATATTATCTAAAATAAATTTGAATTATAAACTAGCATTGAGCTTGAAAAAATGAAAGAAATGCCAGGCTCCTGTTATTTATTGCATAACTAATTAATGCAAAAAATTTTTTTCGCCTAGTTTATAAGAGACAACTTTTTTTATGCTTTTTTCTTTTTTCTTACATTTTTTATGTTAAAAATTAAATAAACGCATAGAGTACTTTGACTGTAACAAATAAATTTTTGAAAACAGCTGGGATATGAAATCACTCTAAAATGAAATGGCGGTTTTTGCTTTAGTGACCAGATACATTCAATTTAAAAACTTGATAAATTGAATGATGACTGATCAAAATCATGGCGAGGTTTGCAATTTGTAGTAATGCAAGTTTATTTATGATTATCACAACACACACAATTGTTTTGCATAAATGAAAGCGCAAATGATTTCTTAACAAATAAAATTTTAGTTGTACGAAATTTTGATATGATTTTCTGCATTTTTTAATTAAGATATAATTGATTAAATTTGTTTACATCATTAAGGATGGATGTAAAATTTAATTAATTAAATCTTGAATTATTACAAATTACTATAAAATTACTTGCTAACATTCTTTAAATGTATAATGAAAAAATATCAATTAAAGTTATCAAATTAAAATTCATCGGATGCGAAATGAAAATATTTTTCAAAGATAATAAGTAAAAGATGTATCCCATCATTTTATTTTCCATACTTAGGGATTATTCATTATTGCTCACTTGGTCTACCACTGTAGTTGCTATCAGGTAAATATCATAACGATTAGTTTATCTTTGTTGTATATACATAATTTGTTGCAATGATTTATTAATAACTAATTTATATTCCAAAATTGAATAGCTAAAACAATGCAGTGTATAATTTATTAAAAGTATTTAATTTCCATTTATTTTTTGATATGATTCTGAAAAACAATCCCTTATTTGGCATTACTATAAAATCATTTATTTTTAATGAAACTTTCCAATAATCTTTCTGTCAATAACAAAAGTTTATTAATTTTAATGCCTTTCTTTGTTCAGTACTATTCAAGGAATATTGTTTTAGTCACAAATTTTATCTCAAAATGTGTCCATCTTTTGCAAACTCTTGAAGAACATTTTGAAAATTTATCGCAGAAAATCGTTACTAGGAAATTAGTTTCCATCAAATGTTGTTGCTTTTTTGCAATAACAAAAAATCATTTTTTTTTTTAAATTAAGATTATAATTTTGTACTAATAATCCATATAGTTATTAGATATGGCTTAATATATTTTTATTGTGTTTTAAATTTTTACTTACTAGATTGAATTATTATGCATGTTATGTGCTACTATACCATGATCCATTAAATTTGATAAAATCATAGAAATAATAATCAAGAAATGTGATTTCCTACTTGGGCAAAATTTAGTTAGAGAAGGAAGAGCTCAAATGTGATTCCAGCTGATGAAAATCAGGGTCAACTTTGTACTTTTAAGAATAAATCTCACTTCTTTAATTATGTCATTCCTGTGCAGTATATTTTTCTGATTCTCATCACATTTTGTCTAATACTTTTGTAGTTTTATAGTTAAAGTCTCATTTCTGTAATTTATTATTTGATAAATGTGAAATAAGAATGAGAAAGATAGAATGAGCAGCAGAGATTTCTGGCACATTCCGAACATATTTTTTAGAATACCAAACAATTCTCCAGCTAAGAAGAAAGTACGTAAAAGTTTATTATCTAATTATAATTATTTTTAATAACGAATTTTTGAAATCTTTTGAAATTTTCATTTCAATTATTACAGAACGAATAGAAATAAATAAATGAGATTTTGGCGAAAAATAGATTGCAAATGAATCTAAGTTTTTACTTCACTTTATTTCCTAGCAAATAGAAAATGGAAAGCAATTGAAAACTTTTGCAATTTCTAACTAAATGGCTAAAAAATAATAAAAGTTCAGTATTATTAAATTTTAACAGCAAAAGCGTTCATCTTTCTAAGCTTTTATGAGAAGTAAATAAAGTTTGGAAGTCAGTTTTGCAAATAAAATTTAGAAAGGTTTGAATTTAATTATGATCTAGTTTTTTCATGACTATTTTTTTTTGCATCATATCATTTATTTACAAAGCAAGTCATATGATACAATAATTGAGTCACTTTTTATTATAATCAAAAATTTGTCCTACTTTGATTCAATTGCAGAAAAGATAAATAAAACTATCTGATAAATGCAACGAATAAGTATTTCCAAAATTTACTTTAATCGTTTTTGTCTGATTACTAAGTAATTTTGTTTAAAATTGTTACTCGTTTGTATTTGTTACAGATAAGAAGTCGAAAACAAAAATACTAAAATTCCTTACCAAATACATATATTGTTACTGTCACTAATTCAATATAAGTTCACTAATAATTTACACTGTGCAGATATTAATTTGATAACAATAAGCACTCATGCCGGAATACAAAATTGTAGTGCTTGGTAGTGAGGGTGTTGGAAAAAGTTCTCTGGTAAAGTTTTTTAATACTCTTCACTTATTCTCTCATATTAATTTCAAAACTTTTAACATTACTTAAAGATTTAGAAAAGTTTAGATCACACAGTTAGTAAAAAAGATGTTTGTAAAACGATATGATCCAACAATCGAAGATAATTACAAGCATGAATTTGTTGCCAATGAAAAAACTTGCACGTTGTTAATTCTTGACACTGCTGGAACTGTAAGTTTTGATTAGTCTTATTAATCGAGTATTCCATAATACTTAGTGTTACCATTTTTGATACTTGCAATAAAAATTAGTTGAAAATGTGTAAAATAACTTGCATTACTATTCTACATATTGTTGGATAAATTAATTAATTATTCGGACAAATTTTTGGTGATTAAATTTTTTAAACTTTGATTTGTCAGAAATTTGAAAAAATTGCTATGAGTTTAATTTGTTTCATTTGAATCTAGTTATATGCTATAGTTTGTATTTTAATAGGAACAGTTCTCAGCAATGTATGATTTGTATATGAAATATGGAGATGGCTTCATTATTGTTTATTCAGTTACTGATTTAACAAGTCTTGCAAATACTGTTGGAATTTTTCAAAATTTAGTACGAATGCGACAAAAATATCATGTAAGCAGAAATTCATAAGAATACTTGTACTGTCATGACTAAAATTTTACTTTTACATTCTTACACGCACAAATAACTTTTGTTCTGCTCATATTCAGTAAAGCTACGATAAAAATTAAATCAAATTACTTCTGTTTCGAAGAAGTTAACAAGAAATTTACATAATTAAAAGTTGTAGTTTCCATTAATACTTGTTGGTAATAAATGTGATGATAATGCAAATCGACAAGTGTCTAGAAGAGATGGAGAACAATTTGCTGCTCAGTACAATTCCACATTTTGTGAAACATCAGCTAAAACTAACATCCACGTCATTGAGGTTTACTTAGTTTTAAGCCATATTTCGATTTTCTACTTACCCCTTTTTTGGATGAGCGGAAAATTATGACAAATTATGGTTTAGATATGTTAAATAAAAACTGTTTGCTTTGCATTTCTTCATCGAAAATCCAAAAATTATTCATCGTTAAGTATTTTAAGGAAAAAGTTTCTAAAAGTCATCTATGATTAAAATCAAAATTAATTAATTAATTAATTACAGTGATGTCAAAAACTTATACTCTGGATTTATTTATGAACATCAATTATTGCAGACATTTGAAGATATTGTAAAACAAATCAGAATGGAAGAACAGTTATCACTTTCTCAATTTCAGTCGAAAATTCATCCGTGGCACGCCGATACCAGCACTTCAATGTGCTGCTTTATGTGAATGTATTAGCCATTATTCGCTAAGCAGCAACAAAATATGTAAAGGATAATTATGATTAATTATTCGCAATGTTTTTGCCTTCACTAACTTAATAATTATTTTCGTTTTTAGATGTTTTTGTAATGATCAGTGTTAAATGATTAAATGCTCAATATAAATAATTAGTAACGAAGGATACAAGTAAATGGAAAATAAATGCTGCAATGAATGTTTGATATACAAATAATTTGAGTACTATCAATGAAAAGTAATTAATTGCTATCAGTGATAAACCAAATAGCTGTCAATGTTTAAGGTTTTTGGTTTTCTTTTTTTTCACAGCTGAATGACTCGATGAAATCAAAATAAATTTATGAAAAATATAGCGAAAAATTGAATGATACACAGTTCACTTGCAACTGTGTGTAAATCAATTTTATTTTTTGCTGCTAAAGCAAAATATACTTGAAAAGTTCAACCATGTGTGTATTTTTGGGGAAAGATGTAACTGTTTATCTTTTCTAGCCATTTTTCTTTGCTAAAAACATCACAATGTAATTATAATTGTTGAGTAAGCAAAGAGAAGGAGTGAGGCTAGAACAGGTATGGTAAACAATTTGAGAGTTTACTTCTCGACTTACGTTCACTTCTATCATAGATGGGACGGATATAGGAAGTTTGCAAGCAGCTGTAAAAGCTCATTTCTTCAAATCTAAATCCATCAGGTGGAGTTTTAGTGTTGTTCCAAACAAGTTTCTTACTTTCTTCTCTTCTTCTAACTTCTCTTACAACTAGACCATTCTTCTTTTTTATTTAACCTAACTGCCAAGCTTCAAATTTTTGAACAATTTTTTTTCAAATCATTTATGTTTTTATCTATCTTTCAGTCTACCAAGTAGTTATACATTCATCCCACTAATCACATATTTCTTTTTCCTCTTAGTATGAAGCCAGTCAGTTATTAGTTACAATTTTAAAAGTGTACAACACGTAAGTTTTGCAATACATATGACGCCATGCTTTTATGAACTATAATAATAAAGTATACATTAATGTCACTTTTGCCTTATATTCAATGCCTTACTGCAAACTTTTAATCAGTATTTTATTATTTCCATCAAATTCTTCACTTTTATGTATCTTAATTTGTGTAAAAATAATTCATTAATTTGTATTTTATGCATTCTGTCAAGTTCTTTTCCATACGATACAATTAACAATTTCTAAATTTCATTCTTCAATGATTTGTGTACCATTTCTTAATGATTATTAGCTTTATATTTATTTATCATAATACTTTGTTTCGATTGCAAATAAGTACTCACAGTGCTTGTTATCGCATGAAAAATGCTCACCAGTACCTATAACGAATTCTTTGGCCGTTAAAAAAAATATTTTTAAAACAACAATCAACTAAACGTCTTCATACCAATTCATACTATATATATATATATATATATATAT